GTGCCCCCGTGGGGCGGGTCTGCGAGGCCGGCGGGCCCCACCCCGGCAGCCCGGGGCCCCGGCCCGGTCCGGTCCGCGCGCTCGGGCCCTCCTTATCGTGCAGCTTTCGTCCGCAGCCTCGTCAGCTGACTGTCCCTCCACCAACCTGGGTCTCCGACCCCTTAGGTTGTGGCCGCTCTCGTGTCCCGTCTCCCCTGGCACCTCCTGGTGCACCGGGGGCCCAGAAGGGCGGGAACGCGTGCTGGGGGGAGGAGTAGGCGGTAAACAGGCAAACCAGCTAACCAGGTAGCCTCAGTGGGTTGTCCTGGAGAAAACGGGGTCGGCTGAGTCACGGTGTGTGTGAGGAATGAGCCGGCCCCGGGCGTGGAGAAGCCTTGGGCTCAGGCAGCGTTCCAGGCAGAGGGAACAGCAGGGGCAAAGTGTGCAGGCTGGGAGGGGTTTGCAGCGTGGGAGGACAGGGTCAGCCGTGGAGAGGGAGACCCTATGGGTGGGGGCGCCACCGTACAGGAAGCTGAGTCGGCCCTCACCCCCTCCAATCCATCTCCTCTTGCAGGAATCGTCCGAGTCCTTCACGGTGGCGTCCAGCCCGGCCCCGAGGCGGAGAGGCAACGATCCTCTGACCTCCAGCCCTGGGCGGAGCTCGCGGCGCACGGATGCCCTGACCTCCAGCCCCGGCCGCGACCTTCCTCCCTTTGAGGATGAGTCGGAGGGACTGCTCGGCACCGAGGGGCCCCTGGAGGAGGAGGAGGAGGAGGATGGAGAGGAGCTTTTCGGAGATGGCATGGAGAGGTTCGGTGCTCAAGGCCCTGCTCTCAGCAAGCTCTGCTGGGGGGCTGTTGTTTTGTGTCCCGGGGAAGCAGATATATCGAAGCCTTTTTGCTTTGAGCACATCTTGGTCCAGGGTCTGGGGGGAGACAGGTTCATGGAGCCACAGCATATGTCCGTGTAACTTGCTGTGTCTACCTTAGAGTTGACCCAAAGGTCTTGGTAAGCCCCAGCTCCATGAGATGTACACCCCAGGGGACGCAGGGCATCTCTAATCCGGGGCCACGTCAGGGACCCCGACTGGGAAGGACAGGAAGCAGGTAGCCAAGAGTTTCGCTGCAACTTGAGAGAAACTCTGTGGGGCGGGTGATTAGTCAGGATTTAGATTTAATTCAGCCCACAGTTATTGTGCTTAACCTGTAGCAGACTTTGTGTTCACACTTACTGATAAATGTACAAACGTAGTAAAGGTTATGGAGGCTTATTGTAGTAAAGGTTATGGAGGCTTATTGCCAAGATGGTGGAGTAAAGCTCTGTGAGTGAGCAAGGTTAGATTCTACTGGTGTCTCACCGTGTGTTAACAACCAGGATTTGGCCTATGCATTAGCACTAGAATTATCTGAATGCCCGGGAGCCTCGTGGAGATTCTGCTTTGGGGCTCTCTTTACTCTGACGTGGGGGCTTCAAACTTGGTGTGTATGAGAGTACTGTTCAGGCCGCCCCACAGTCCACAGGGAGAGCCCTGTGGGAGCATCCAGGGCACTCTGGACCGTTTGGACCTTTGCTTTAAGCTCCATCACTCCAGGTGATGAGCCTGGGTGTGCAGCACAGGCCAGACAGAGTCCGGATGGATGAGGAGTCTGGACAGGTCAGCCCTGAGCAGCTTCCCTGCTGTGCTCTGTGAGATTGTGCAGGCAGGACATGCCTCCCCGGCCGGCCACCCTCCATCCACCCCCTCTGTGTCTTCTGTCCTTCCCTGGCAAGGACGCCTGGATAGAGGTATCTGAGGACTAGATGCGCCCAGTTAGATTTTGGTTTTATGGCTTGTTTAAAAAACAACCTTACTGAGCTATAATTTTTATAATATAAGGTTTATCTCTTATAGGAATACAATTTAATGCGTTTTAGTAAATTTTCTGGGTTGTGCACCTATCACCACAGTCCAGTTTTTTCCATCATCCCCGTAAGATCCCTTGTGCCTGTTTGTAGTTAATCCCCATCCCCTTCCCCACCCCTAGGTAACCAATAATCTACTTTCTGTTTCTTTGGATTTGCTAGTGCTGGCTGTTTCGTGCAGGTGGAGTCTGTAATACACATGTCGTTGTGTGCAGCCTTGTTGGGCTTACTGTGTTTTTCAGGGTCCATCCACGTTGGAGCACACGTCAGCACATCATTCCTTTTCATGGCTGAGTAGTAGTCCGTTGTATGGACAGACTGCGTTTTGTTTACCCATTCATCAGTTGGTAGACATTTGGGTGCTTTGCATTTTTTAGCAATTATAAATAGTGCTGCTAGGAGTTTCTTATGTGAATATATTTTTAAGTTCTCTTGGAATGGAAGTCCAGTTCCTAGGAATGGAATTGTTGGGTCATGTGATAACTCTATGTTAATTTTTTGAGGAACTGCCAAACTTCTCCAAAGCAGCTGCACCATTTTACATTCCCATAAGTGGCATATGTCGTTTGAGTTCTCCGCATTCTCACCAACACCTGTTATTTTCTGGTTTTTGACAACAGGCACCCTAATGGGGCGGGGAGGCGGTATCTCACTGTGGTTTTGATTTGCATTTCTCTGATGACTAGTGATGTTGAGCAGCCCTTCGTGTGCTTCTTGGCCATTTGAGTATCTTTGGAAAATTGGTCTTCAGATACTTTGCCCGTTTTTTATCAATAATTTGTTTACTTGACTTTTTATCATTGAGTTGTAAGAGTTCTTAAAAACTTACTCTGGATATAAGGCTTTTATCAGACATGAGACTTGCAGATATTTCCTTCTCAGTCTATGGCTTGTCTTTTTAATTTTTTTTAAATGGTGGGTTTTGAGGTGTACAGTTTTTAAATTTTGCTGAAGTCTATAATTTATCCAATTCTTTTAAATTGAGCAATTAGAATTTCACTGAGGGCATCTCACATGACTTGAAATTCTTTTTTTTTTTAATTTATTTTAATTTATTTATTTTTGGCTGTGTTGGGTCTTTGTTGCTGTGTGCAGGTTTTCTCTAGTTGCGGCGAGCAGGGGCTATTCTTTGTTGCGGTGCGCGGGCTTCTCTTGTTGCGGAGCACGGTCTCTAGGTTGGTGGGCTCAGTAGTTGTGGCTCGCGGGCTCTAGAGTGCAGCCTCAGTAGTTGTGGTGCACGGGCTTAGTTGCTCCGCGGCATGTGGGATCTTCCCAGACCAGGGCTTGAACCCGTGTCCCCTGCACTGGCAGGCAGATTCTTAAGCACTGCGCCCCCAGGGAAGCCCATGACTTGAAATTCTTAACGAGTTAGACAGATACCTTTTCTTTGAGGACATTTAAGAACTTGGAAGTGATCAGTCCAGAAGCATACCTGGTTCTGGGTTCTGTTTCTGGCGTCAGTAGTGTGGGATTATCTGAGAGTGTTCTTTGACAGAGTCTATGGCCAAAAAAAAAGAAGTTCCCCAAATTACCACGTCCTCTGAGAAAGGGAAAATTCAAGAGGACCGTCGTGGGGCCAGTGTGGTATTGGAAGCAGCTAGCCACCTTGATGCCCAGCTCTGTTGAGTGACCTTTGGCAGAAATCCCATCACCCCCCGCCCCCTGTCCTCGGTTTCTTCATCTTTCTGATGGAGGGTGATGTGTGCTTCCCCAAATCGCGGGGAGGGGAGCTGTGTTTGCCCTGGTGGGGGTGCTTGTTGAGGCATCAGTCCTTCAGATATCTGACAGGCGGTCACGTGGAAGGTCTCGCTGTGGCTGGAAGGACTGAGCCACAGATGTGTTCGGGAGAGGCTGGTTGGGCTGATGTGTGTGGGCCTCCTGGGGTCCGGGGTTCGAGGCGGGGCTGCCAGAAACCAGAGTGCAGGAGGGTTCCTGCCCAGGGGGAGCTGCGTTGGCTCTCTGAAGGCCCTTCCAGCTGAAGGTTTTGTGGGTCCTCCGATTCCTCTTTCCTGCTGGTGCTCAGAGCTCCCCTTTTTTACTGTGGGAGAACGCACATGACACAAGATTCCCGTCTCGGCCATCTCTGAGTGTAAGTTCAGTGGCATCACGTCACTCACGTTGTCGTACGACCGTCACCACCCTCTCCAGGACTTTATTCCCCAAACCCAATCACGCAGGATTTCTGCCCTATGACTGGCTTGTCTCACTGAGCACAGTGTCCTCAGAGTTTGCCTGTGTCACAGCAGGTGTCAGGAAGTCTGTCCTTTTGAAGACTGTGTCCTTTTCCGTTTGGGATCCGTTGGGGAGCCTTTCGGAGCCTCTCCAGGTGCCCTGGCCGGGGCTCCAGAGCCCTCTGGAGCCCGGTTCTTGGTGGGGTTTTGTTTTGGGGTCTGGGTGCTAACGGGCTCCATCTGGGGGCCTCGCAGGGACTACCGCCCCATCCCGGAGATAGATGTTTACGAGCCCGAGGGGCTGGCCCCGGACGACGAGGACGTAGACGAGCTGACCGCCAGCCAGAGGGAGGCGGCCGAGCGGGTCATGCGGCGGCGAGACCGGGAGGCCGGCCGGGGCCTGGGCCGCATGCGCCGCGGGCTCCTGTACGGTGCGTTCTTGGGGAGCCCGGGGGAGGCGGGAGGCGGTGCGGGGAGCCGGCCCTGAACGCGCCCCCGTCCCCCAGACAGCGACGAGGAGGAGGAGGAGCGCCGCAGCCGGAAGCGGCGGCAGGTGGAGCGGGCCACGGAGGACGGTGGCGAGGCCGACGAGATGATCGAGAGCATCGAGAACCTGGAGGACCTGAAGGGCCACTCGGTGCGCGAGTGGGTGAGCATGGCCGGCCCGCGGCTGGAGATCCACCACCGCTTCAAGAACTTCCTGCGCACCCACGTGGACGGCCGCGGCCACAACGTCTTCAAGGAACGCATCAGTGACATGTGCAAAGGTGCGCCTGCCCCGTGCCCGCTGGAGGCCGCCCGCCCTGGCCTTGTGGCGACGGGTTTGACAGACGGATATGCGGGGCACGTGGGGGGCCGGGGCCTGAGCCCGGGGTGCCCGTCTTTCAGACAAAGTATCGTGGGTCCAGCGCACTGTCCAGGGACTACGTACGTCTGGACCCCAGCAGTCGTTTTTTTGTTTTGTTTTGTTTAAAATTAATTAATTAATTTTTTTTTTTTTTTTGGCCGTGCCGTGTCTTTGTCGTTACGCGCGGGCTTTCTCTAGTTGCGGTGAGCAGGGGTTACTCTTCCTTGCAGTGCGCGGGCTTCTCATTGTGGTAGCTTCTCTTGTTGCAGAGCACGGGCTCTAGGTGCGCGGGCTTCAGTAGTTGTGGCGTGCAGGCTCAGTAGTTGTGGCTCATGGGCTTAGCTGCTCCGCGGCATGTGGGATCTTCCCGGACCAGGGCTCAAACCCGTGTCCCCTGCATTGGCAGGTGGATTCTTAACCGCTTGCGCCACCAGGGAAGCCCCAGAAGTCGTTTTTGATGGACTTACAGTTGGGCAGACTTTATATAGAAATCTGGATTACTGCTTTGATCGGAGTGTAGCAGCACGTTTCTGAGCAAAGCAGCACGTGAGGAGGCGTGTGGCTCCTGGTCCCCCACCGGCCCCTCCCCTCCCTTTTGTCTCACATCCGACACGTTTCTTCGCGGGTTTCCTCCTGGTCTTACAGGCACTCTGAGTTTGTGGCAGGCACCCCATGTGTTGCTCCACTGTATCCCCCCCAGGGACTTAGGTCCCATTTCATAGGTTCAGAGCTTTGAGACCTAGCGTCCGTCACTTCTCTGGGTCCCATCGCTAACGCTGAGCGGACTTGGGAGCGAGGCTGCGCCTCCAGCTCCGAGTCAAGGGCTCGGCGGGCTGGCCTCCCCTTCTCGCAGTGAGGTGGGCCTGCCCCAGCCTGCTCCGCGCTCAGCCTCTCTTCCCACCCCGCCCACCTCAGAGAACCGTGAGAGCCTGGTGGTGAACTACGAGGACCTGGCCGCCAGGGAGCACGTCCTGGCCTACTTCCTGCCCGAGGCGCCGGCAGAGCTGCTGCAGATCTTCAGCGAGGCTGCCCTGGAGGTGGTGCTGGCCATGTACCCCAAGTATGACCGCATCGCCAGCCGCGTCCACGTGCGCATCTCCCACCTACCCCTGGTGGAGGAGCTGCGCTCGCTCAGGTGAGCCGGCGGGGGCTCGGGCACCCGTGGGGGGTGGCGGGTGGCCGCGGCCAGAGAAAGCCCACCCCGTGGGTCCTGGCCTCACTGGTGGGTGAGGGTCCGGCCCCCGCCCTCTGGTCTCTGACGGCGCCTCACCTCCGCAGGCAGCTGCACCTGAACCAGCTGATCCGCACCAGCGGGGTGGTGACCAGCTGCACAGGCGTCCTGCCGCAGCTCAGCATGGTCAAGTACAACTGCAACAAGTGTGGCTTCGTGCTGGGGCCTTTCTGCCAGTCCCAGAACCAGGAGGTGAAGCCGGGCTCGTGCCCTGAGTGCCAGTCAGCCGGCCCCTTCGAGGTCAACATGGAGGAGGTGAGCGCGAGGCTGGCACCGTAGCCGCGGGAGCCAAGATGCAAGTGTGTGTTGGCCCCGCGCTGGGGCAAGCAGGCCCATGTGGTCAGCCCACGTGGTGTTCTCAAGAATTCAAGGCAGTACGTACAAACCAGACGTTTAAAGCATCAACGTTTATGGCTTTTTTTTCTTGAGTGGGAAGATCTGGTGAAACTGGGCCCGCTTCTCCCCTGGCTGCCCCTCAGCAGGGCACCTGCTTTCCAGTCCAGACTCCCTGGTACCTGCCTCTCTGGCCTTGCGCTGGGGACCCCTGATTTGTAACTCTCTGCGACACTGCTGTGCCATCTTCAGGAGGCCCTGCTGGAAGCCTCTGGGCCTTAAGACCTCGGGCACGTAACACCCGCCTTTGAACGTGAACCACTCCCAGTGTAAAGCGTGGCGGGGTCATCACGATCGCTGCGGTAGAGCTCAGACCCCCCTCTACTGCTTTGCTGCCATGAGTGATGGGCTAACGTCTCTCTGCTCTATGATTCTGAGAAGCGCCCCAACTGGAGCCGCCTTGCCAGGAAAAGCCTGGCAGCCCTCAGGCAAAGACTGACCTGTTTCAAAGTTCAAGTGTGCCTTGCCTTGGGGAACGACGGCTGCAGGGCTGGGCTCCAGCTGAGCCCATGCCTTTACCCAGAGTCCCCCCGCCCCCTCCATCTAGCTGGTCCCCCTCCCCTTTACAGGTTCCCCCTTCACACACGTTTCTTGAGAAGCTACTTGAACGAGAGCAGAGTTGCAGGCTCTGCTTGCAGGGCACCTGGGACAGTGACTGGTAGTGGAATAATAATTACGCTGAAGTTTCTGGAGCACTTGCTAGGTGCCACGTGGTGGGGGGGGGGTGCGTTATTTGGTCTTCATCACACCTTGTGAGGCAGGTGCTCTTGTTGGCCCTATTTGGCCCCTGAAGTAACAGGCTGAGGTCACCCAGCCAGGAAGTGGCCCAGAGGATTAGAACGCAAGCATTTTGATGCAGAGCGTGTGCTTAAAACCACCTTTTCCTGTGGCTCTTTTCTAGACAGTAGATAAGATGATGGATGTCAGGTTGCATGCGCGGTGCTGCCTTGTGACCTCGACAGTGAGCCCACGCTTGGTGTAACTTGTTTCGTGGGCGTTGGTTTGAGTGCTTTTCACGTGTGACGTGACAGCCTTCTCTCCGCGTGGCTGCGGCTGCGGCTGCGGCTGCAGCGTCCGTACGCCCGTTCTGCGGGGCAGGCACGGAGAGCTCGGGCCACAGAGGAGCCTGGCTCCAGTGTTCGCATGCATTGGGCTCAGCTGTAGGGCCTATCACGGGGGTCTGGCTTCCGGCAGGAGGGAGGCATCCGAGGGGGGGGTGGCAGGAGCGGGGGCCGTGCACCGTGGCGCCGGTCACAGTGGCTCGCCCCCCTGCTATCTGGTGGGAAGAAGAACGCTGCCCTCTTTGCCCCAGGGCACCGGTCCAGTTCAGGTGACAAAGAATCGGTGCTTGGACAGCAGCCCAGGCTTCGCCGGCTCGGGCCGGGCCCCTCTGACCGTCTGTCTGTCCCACGCAGACCATCTACCAGAACTACCAGCGCATCCGAATTCAGGAGAGTCCTGGCAAAGTGGCGGCCGGCCGGCTGCCCCGCTCCAAGGATGCCATCCTCCTCGCGGACCTGGTGGACAGCTGCAAGCCAGGAGACGAGATAGTGAGTGGCCGGGGGGGCCCAGCAAGTTGGGGTGAGCGCTGTGGTGGGGGACGGGTGGCGGTAGCCCGGGGAGTGGGCCAAGGTCAGCTCTCGCGTCTCTAGCACCGAGCTCCTCCTCGCGGTGGACGGCCAGCTGGGTGCTGGGCTCGGGAGCAGCGTGCTGTGGTTCTGCTGAGGTACTGCTCTCCCGTCAGTGACCCAGGGACCGACCCGGAGGAGGGGTCGGGTGAAGCCAGTGAGGAGGCGGGCCTGGCCCGTGCTTCTGGCCCCGGGGTGGCCCTCCTGACCACTCGGTACCCCCCAGGAGCTGACCGGCATCTACCACAACAACTACGATGGGGCTCTCAACACTGCCAACGGCTTTCCCGTCTTCGCCACCGTCATCCTAGCCAACCACGTGGCCAAGAAGGACAACAAGGTGGCCGTGGGCGCGCTGACTGACGAGGACGTGAGGAAGATCACCAGCCTCTCCAGGGACCAGCAGATTGGGGAGAAGGCAGGTGGGGGGCGGGCGGGCGGGGCTGCCGCAGTCGGGGTACCCGGGTCTTGGAAGCTGGTCCCTGCGTTTGATTCCCTGCCGCCTCTCAGTCCGCTTGCCTTGGCGGGGGATGTGCTCCAGGGGAAGAATGTCCGGCAGCCTCCGTGAGCCTGTGTCCTGCCCGCGAGGACACGGGTGAGGTCAGGGTTCCTCAGGTTGTGCCGGGCTCGGACTGGGAGGGAAACCGGTGGGGGGCAGTAGGAAAAGCTTGTCTGGTGGGGCGTCCCGTGGCATCAGATCCCTGTCCGCAGTCACTTCTCCGGGAATAGCACCACCCCAGCGTGGGGGTTTGCTTTTCCCTTTAACTGTAGGCGTTTTGCTGAGGTTGGGGAGACGGGGGTTTTCGTTGCAGTATTACAAATACTGGCGACCCCTGGACGGTGCAGGGGTGAGGGGCGCCCACCCCGACTCTGTTGAAAGTCCACGTGTAAGTGGATCCGCGCAGATCAAACCCGGGTTGTTCCAGGCTCAGCTGTAGGACGTTAAGTTCCCGTTGATAAAAGTTCTGCCGCATGGCCCTCGGGCTCCTGGGTCACCCGGGGGCCCCTCAGGCTCGTGGCCCCGCCCCCGCCCCCCCAGCGCCCCTCTCCCCTCGCCTGCCCACTTCCTGTTCTCTTGTTGGCGCACGACCGCCCCGCTCTCTCCCTGGCTGCTCTGCTGCCGCACATCTCAGGTCCTTGCACCCCCATTGGCCGCTTTCATTAGTCTGCCGAGATTGGGGGCACACGGGGAAGGCGGGTGTCCCTAGCCCCAGGAGGGCACACGGGGAAGGCGGGTGTCCCTAGCCCCAGGAGGACAGGCACTGCCGTTCCACCAGTGTGCTGGGTCCTGAGGGACCCTCCAGGGCCGCGTTGTTCAGGCTTCTCGGTGGGAAGTGAGACCCGGTTGTCGCCCTCACGGGGCTTGTCCTTTACTACAGCCCCGGTAACCCCCCTCCTCCCGCCCCCGCCGAGGGAAACCAGTGCTCGTGTGGGCATGTTTTCAGAATCTCGACAGAGCATTTGGGCCGGTTTCTGGGGGCGGGGGACTCTGAGTCCCAGGCACGTGTCCGCTTGTCTGCACACACACCTGACGTGTGCGGGTGCGGGGGCTCCGTGTGCTTCTAGAACATTCCCTAGCGCCCGCCTGCCCTCTGCCCGCCGTGATTTCCCTCTGCACCCTCTGCCACTTCGGAGATAAGTTGACGGGTGACAGGGAAAATCCAGAAATGATCAGGCTCACTGGAACGGTTGGAGCCGGAGGTTTGCAGGCTGGTGGCTGGTGGGCCCCATGCAGCCTGCTGACGGGTTTTTCCCAACTGGTACGTGGTTCTGTTTTTTTGTTTTTCCAAATGTTTGAATGAGTTATCATTCCTTAAGAATAGGGAGATTTCACATAAAAACGTGGGCGCCCAGGTTTCGATATTCCAAGTCGGGTGGTCTGTGTCTTTAGGAGCGAGTGGTGTGCTGGGTGGCCGCTGTCCTCAGACGGGTTCCCTCCGGTCTGCCGGCTGCCCACTGCTGTAGGCTCTCCCGCCTGCATCACTCCGGCTTCCACCCAGCTTGCCGCTGTGGGCGTTGGATTTCGTGGGTGCTGGTGGGGTGAAGCATTCGAGAGATGTGTGTTGTGCCTGAAACTGAGATTTTGAAGTGACAGGAGACGCACGCAGCCTGAAGCCAGACTTAGGGTTGAGGTTTGGCATTGTGCTCAGTGTGATCAGATGCGCTGCCCCGGCTGTGAGCAGAGACGGGGGTCGCACCCGCTCGCAGAGTCGTTCTAAAGGTTAAGCAGGTAAGCGAGCAGGCGTGGGATCTCCGCGGCCAGCTGTCACGGTTACAGGCTGTTACAGCTGGGGCGCTGGGAAGGGCCAGCAGGAGGATGAGCACAGCTTTGGGGCCTGCGTTCGACGATTCCTGTGCTCACTTTGGCCGTGGGGGTGGGTGCTGGGCTGTCTTTGAGGGCGGCGGGCAGTGCACCTAAGACTTAGGAGTGTTAGGAGCCTGGGGTCGGGTCCTGGGCATCCTCAGCAGCAGGTGGTCTGTTTCCTCCTGTGTGATGTGGAGGTCGTGGTGGTAAATGGAATAATGCTTGGGAAGTGGGTGTCACGCCCCTGGCAGGTCTGGGTTTGGGTTCACCTCTTACCAGGCACTAAGTTGCCCTATCACTTAAGGTAGCCGGGTCAGCACGGGTGCACCGAGCAGTGTGGCAGTGATGTGGCCGCTCCCGTGCCCTTCTGGCCGGCAGGGACGGAACAGGGAGCCCGTGAGCACAGCAGGCAGGAAGCGGGCTGCTGCCCTTGGTCCCAGAGGGAGACATTACCTCATCCTGCGAAGTGCCTGGTACCCAAAGAGCACCGAGAAATGCTCTGGGTGGAGCAGCCCAGGCTGGGCAGTCCTGGCATCAGGTCCAGAGCGACTGTCTCTCCCAACAGAGGTGGGGGCTCAGTAAGGGGATCGTTAATGTGTACGGAGCGCCGAGTATTCGCTGGTCACTGAGCAATTTGCAGAGGGTTGTCTGTGTCTTGTTATTGATGAGTAACCTGAGACGTGGGGCGGTGGGGGCCTGGTTGTCGTAAGACGCCCACGTCACGTGGCTAACAAGTGGCAGAGCCAGGGTCCCGCCAGGCCGTCCGGCCTCCACCCCTGCTTCCAGGGGCCGCCCTCTGCCCCCCCATGCTGTTCCCACGTGTGGGAGGTGCTTCTGAGTGTCGGGTTCCAGGGGACCCAGCTCAAGGTTATCATGAGTTCCAGGGGACCCTGGCCCACGTTTTAAAAGTCACCACAGAAGTGAGACGCGAGCGTGGCATATGGTGTGGCAACACCATGGACCCTGCGTGTCCTTTGCCAACTTCTCCCATCCCCGAGGTCATGGCTGGTCTGGGCTCCTCTGTGCAGCTCCCTCCCCTGTTTTTGTTTTTTGTTTTTGTTTTTGTTTGTTTGTTTTTTGCGGTACGCGGGCCTCTCACTGCCGTGGCCTCTCTCGCCGTGGAGCACAGGCTCCGGACGCGCAGGCCCAGCGGCCATGGCTCACGGGCCCAGCCGTCCCACGGCACGCGGGATCCTCCCGGACCGGGGCACGAACCCACGTCCCCCGCTCCGGCAGGCGGACTCCCAACCACTGCGCCACCAGGGAAGCCCCTCCCCTGTTACTCTGACACAAATTCAGACCCGCCCTTGCACCTGCAGCTACACCTACACCAGTGTGTCTCTCAAGGTTCTTTTTACTAACCTGACCCCACTTCCACTGTCACACTTGAAGATACCTAGCAGTTCCTAGGGTTGATGTTCACTTGGGTCTACAGTTCCCTGGTGGTCTCTTTGTTTTTTGAAAATTTTCTTGTGGTCAGTGTCCAAGTAAGGTCTACACACTGATGCGTTGACTGTCTCTCATCTTTTTATTTAAACTTATTTATTTTTTAAGTTTTTGGCTGCGTTGGGTCTCCGTTGCTGCGCGCGGGGGCTCCTCTTCATTGTGGTGCGCGGGCTTCTCATTGCGGTGGCTTCTCTTGTTCTGGAGCACAGACTCTAGGCGCACGGGCTTCAGTAGTTGTGGCGCACAGGCTCTAGAGCGCAGGCTCAGTAGTGGTGGCGCACGGGCTTAGTTGCTCCGCAGCGTGTGGGATCTTCCCGGACCAGGGATCCAACCCACGTCCCCTGCATTGGCAGGTGGATTCTTAACCACTGCGCCACCAGGGAAGCCCTCTTCCTCTCTTTTACACACACACACACACACGCGCGCGCGCGCGCACACACACACACCCAGAGCAGTGGCGAAATGTCTCGACGGCTTTCCAGGTGAACGTCTCACCTCCCGGTGGACCCACCTCCCGGCCGCCCTGTGTTCTGAGCTCGGTACCTGCAGTCCTGCGGGAGCCTGGCTTGTGTAGACGCCTCCTGTAGTGCTCACAGCCCCCGTGACCTGGGCAGTGTCATCTCCTTTCCATTCGAGGGCACAGGCTCGGGCAGGCCGCCAAGCCTGGGTGGGGTCTTCTGCGTCCATGCCGTCGGAGCCCACCCCCGCGGGCCTGGGTCTCGTCTCCTGCTCCTGTTCTGCGTGTGACCTTGGGGCGGTCCTGCAACAGGGCGAAGTGAAGGGGGTCAGGCCGGGGTTCTGGTCAGCTTTAAGGTTCGGTGACTCGGGAAGAGCCAACCAAGTACGAGGCCCGGAGTTGGGGGTGGGATGGGGAGTGGGTCTCGACGCGGGGTCGGGGGAGTTACAGCTGTGCGTGGGCGCTCCAGGCCGGAGCACATGGTGACTGTTCCCGTCACCCCCCGCCCCCAGATCTTTGCCAGCATTGCTCCTTCCATCTACGGGCACGAAGACATCAAGCGAGGCCTGGCGCTGGCTCTGTTTGGAGGCGAGCCCAAAAACCCCGGTGAGTGGGGCGGGGGGGGGGGGCGCCTTCTCTGCGGGGGGCTTGGTGGGAGCAGTTCCCGGCGTCTGGCGAGAGGGACGCATGCGCGGGTGGCTCAACATCCCAGCGAGAGCACAGCCCGCAACCATCCACTGTGCACAGATTTAACTGTGGAAGTAACAACCCGGACGTGTGTTTGTATTACATCCTTTTCTTGAGTCGTTAGAGGTCTCAGAGGGGCCGAAGCCCCCATTGGCCTCCCCGTCTCATCATGGTCCCTCCCTGCAGGTCACCTGGTTGGTGTCGGGGGGACATGGGCAGCACTTTGTGTGGCTGTTCAGATAGATTACACGTGTGCTGATACGGAAAACACGGCACTCCATGACTTTGGCATGTTTCTACTTGCAAGTGTAGTGCTCCCTGTCTGTGTGTGAGGGACTGTCTCTGATGTACCCAGCTGCCCCGTCAGCATGGCTTTGGCATCGTTTCCTGTGGGCGCACAGAGAATGACGAGCTTGCGCTCTGAAGTTACCGTGTGCTGGTTCACATCGTGCCACATTCAGCTGTCCTCCTGGCTGGAGAGCACGTGCACGGCCTCCAGTGTGTACATTACAAACAGCGTCTTCATAGGCACCTCCTTGTGCACCGTGGTTCTGGGTTCTGTGCTCAGAGTGGGGTGGCTGGTCCTGGGCATTACATCCCTTTCTACAAAGCATATTGCTTTGTTGTTTGCAGTAAGCAGTCTGGGAAATCGGGGATAATCCAGCTCTGTCCTGAGCCCCCTCTGCCCCGTTCCTGCCCCCAGGTGGCAAGCACAAGGTGCGAGGTGACATCAACGTGCTCCTGTGTGGAGATCCCGGCACGGCCAAGTCTCAGTTCCTCAAGTACATCGAGAAAGTGTCCAGCAGAGCCATCTTCACCACCGGCCAGGGGGCCTCGGCCGTGGGCCTCACGGCATACGTCCAGCGGCACCCCGTCAGCAGGGAGTGGGCCTTGGAGGCTGGGGCCCTGGTCCTGGCGGACCGAGGAGTGTGTCTTATCGATGAATTTGACAAGGTGGGTCCCTGGGCCCAGAGCTGACGTGTGGGCTGAGCCCTCGGTGGGGAGCGCGTGTTCGTGGGGAGCGCGGGGGCCTCGTCTGAGAGACCGCAGTCGGGCAGGAATCCCGCGTTTGCCCGCCACGCAGATGAATGACCAGGACAGGACCAGCATCCACGAGGCAATGGAGCAGCAGAGCATCTCCATCTCCAAGGCCGGCATCGTCACCTCCCTGCAGGCCCGCTGCACCGTCATTGCTGCCGCCAACCCCATAGGTGCGTGGGTGCGACGGCCAGAAGGGGAGCAGACCCGGGGGCCCCTGCTCTGGGACCCGTGCCGCTGAGTCTGAGGAAGGAACCGAGCAGCAGCAAGTGCCCCTCTCCTGCGTTTCGTGCTGGGGGTGGGGTGGGAGGACGGGAGACCCCCGGGCTTTCGTTGAGCCGTGTTCTCGGGAGACAGGAGGAGCACCTAGCGCTTAAATAGGGTGGGACTGGCCGTTGGTCTCAGCCAAAGTGGTTAGAGAGCCCAGGCGCCCCTGCCATCTTGTCCCCGGGTTTTCCTTGCGGGAGGCGGCTAAGAGGCCTCGGGCTGATTGGGGCAGCGTGGGGAGAGCCCCACGCGGGCTTGTCCGGGGTGCCTGGAGCAGGCCCTGCGTCCCTCCACCGCTGATTCCCCTCCCGTCACTGCAGCCACGCGGGTTGGAAAGAACCTTGTACAGTCACGGAGGAGCGGGGCCCCGGGGAGTGGGAGCCCTGACGGGGACGTGCCTTTGTGCTGCAGGTGGCCGCTACGACCCCTCGCTCACCTTTTCGGAAAACGTGGACCTCACGGAGCCCATCATTTCCCGCTTTGACGTCCTGTGTGTGGTGAGGGACACAGTGGACCCAGTCCAGGTATGCAGCCCACGCCCTGGGTGTGCGCAGCGAGTTTGGGGACCTGGCATCGGCCCAGGGCTGTGGCTCGCCAGGCTCAGGGAAGGGCTGCCATGTGGACCGTGTGTTTTCCACATGTTCTCAGTCCAGAGTTCCTTGATTTCTCTCTTTCGCCCACCCCTCCCCGGCCACCCACCCAGCATCGCCCACGCTCTGCCACCAGCTCCCGAGTCTCCTCACTTCTCGCTGCTATGAACCTCGTCCCAGCTTCCCTCCTCTGGCCCGATGCACTGCAGCCTTGGTGCTGGGCCCCCGGCTTCCCCTGTCAGAGGCCAGCCATCTTTGGGGGCACGGGCGGACCTGCCTCTCCTTACAGACCTGCTCTCGGCCTCCCATCCCATCTCGCTGGCAGGGAGTCCACCGTCCCCGAGAGGTCTCTCCCCCTGCCCCTTCCTCTCATCCACACCCCCTCACCTTCTCGGGCTTCACTTGTGCTCTGTTCTCTGCTCCCAGATGTCGTGACTGGGGCTCTGGTGGCCTCAGCTGGAGGCTGTCCTCCGGCCTCCATCCCACCACGTGCTTCTCTTCTTCCTATAGTGTGAACTCTGTCTCCTCTGCCGTCACTGGGGGGGTGCGCCCCGGCCCATAGCAGGTGGGGGACACGTGTCGTTACAGAGCGTCTTCAGCGAGCTGACCTGCTCCAAGCCAGGCGCCAGGCTCAGCCCGCTCTCGTCCTCTCCGTCTTGTCTCAGGATGAGATGCTGGCCCGTTTCGTGGTCGGCAGCCACATCAGACATCACCCCAGCAACAAGGAGGATGGGGGCCTGGGGGGCGCCCCGGAGCCCCCTATGCCCAACACATATGGCGTGGAGCCCCTGCCGCAGGAGGTCCTGAAGAAATACATCATCTACGCCAAGGAGAAGGTCCACCCGAAGCTCAACCAGATGGACCAGGACAAGGTGGCCAAGATGTACAGTGACCTGAGGAAGGAATCCATGGTGAGGGCCGAGTGGGGCAGAGGGGGGCGCACGGCAGAGCCTTATCTGTGTGCTCAGTGGGTCCAGGAGCACTGGAGCAGCAGGAAGGCCTTAAAGACATGATACTTACTCGCCTTAACTGTTTTGTTGAGACAGAACTTAAACATATGTGCATCTGTCTGTCTCAGGGTATAGCTGAGGTCTTTGTTCTTGGGCCGTTGATTTAGTTCCAATGACTTTGCAAAAATCTCACCCGAATGAGCATGCGCCTGAGCTAGTTTTCGTTCACTCGTGGTGGGGAGAGAATTTAAAGGCAGCTTGCAAGCAGGTGGACTGCAGAATTCTTGCAGGTTGCTCCCTCTCGCCTACCTAAGCACGATGGCCACCCCTCCTCCCCTTTCCCTCCGTCCTAACACCTTCTCACTTAATTGGGTCTTTTCAGAGCCTTAGCTTTTGGGCTTCACAGACACCTTCTCACTTAATCGGGCCTTTTCGGAGCCTCGCTTGGGCTTCACAGAAACACAGCTTTGATTTCTCCCTGATGCTGCCCTGCGTCACGCGGCCCCTGGCACCTGACAGTAGCAAATACAGCCGCCCACAGGCGTGTAGACTCCGGGAGCCCGGGAGCTGCCAGGAGCACACGTGCTGGGCTGGCGGTGGCAGCCACGAGCCTTCGCGCTTTGGGAACCAGAGGAAGCTTGGGCGCGCCTGGCTCCGGTGGGCGCCGCCCTGCAGGGGGTTCAGCTGGGCCTCGCGGCGACACTAGCTCTGCCCGTACGCCACGTGCTGGTTGTCCCGCCGGGAGACCTGACGCGGCCGTTCCTCCAGGCCACGGGCAGCATCCCCATCACGGTGCGTCACATCGAATCCATGATCCGCATGGCTGAGGCCCACGCGCGCATCCACCTGCGGGACTACGTGATGGAGGATGACGTCAACATGGCCATCCGCGTGATGCTCGAGAGCTTCGTGGACACGCAGAAGTTCAGCGTCATGCGCAGCATGCGGAAGGTGGGGGCGGGGCCTGGGCCGGGGGGGCGGGGCCTGGGCCGCGCGAGTCCAACCTGCCTCTGCTGCCAGGAGCAGCTGGCCTGGGGGGGCCTGGCAGCAGGGTCACCTCCGCTCTCGCCGTAGACTTTTGCCCGCTACCTGTCGTTCCGCCGGGACAACAATGAGCTGCTGCTCTTCATCCTGAAGCAGCTGGTGGCCGAGCAGGTGACGTATCAGCGCAACCGCTTCGGGGCCCAGCAGGACACGATCGAGGTGCCCGAGAAGGACTTGGTGGACAAGGTACGGGTGTGGCCAGGGGCGGGGTTTGCCCGGGCCGTCACAACGCACGTGTCCCACTATCGTCCCATTACTGTCATCCGTCCTGCTGACGCGCCGGGCCGGGCAACCACGCAGCCTGTCCGAGTTCACGGCCGTTGTCCGGGCTCAAATTTCAAGCCCCGTGTCCAGCTGCAGACCCTCCCTCGGCCTCACAGCGGTTCGCTCTTCCCTGTGATGGGGACAGAGGCCCCGCCTGCCTGCCTCCCCTGGTCCGGCCTTGAACGCGTGCTGGGGCCTCGGGCTCGGGACCTGCCCACGCGTCCGCACGGCTCACTGGACGTCCCGTTTTCAGGCTCGTCAGATCAACATCCACAGCCTGTCTGCCTTTTACGACAGTGAGCTCTTCAGGACCAACAAGTTCACCCACGACCTGAAACGCAAGATGATCCTTCAGCAGTTCTGAGCATCCGCGGCAGCTCCGTGGTCCCGGTGACTGCACTCTGCTGCAGGGACCCAAAACCAGGCTGCGTGGGGCTCCGAGTCGTGCCATGTGGTTCCATCCACCCCATGCCCGGGGTGTTTATTTCCTTGGCTCACTTCCTCTGCTCTCATCTCGGGGCACTTGACTTCCCGGAGCTGCGTTTTCAGCCCTCTGACAGCCGCCCACCACTTGCAGGAGGTTCGCCTGACCTCCTTCTGGGGAGTGAAGTCGATAGTGTTCGGGGCCCCTGGGGGCTGTTCTAGGGGACTGAGCACGGAAGGGCGTCACCAGAGCCGTTGGCCTCTTGGCATGAGTTCCCTGTCCCGCTCTTGCTGCTGCCTGTGGTTGAAGAGCAAGCGCTCAGTATTCGCAGTGTTTTCCTGAATTGTGTCCTGCGGCTCCTCTAGGCCCCCGTGATAGAGGCAGCGTGTGGGTCCTGCACAGATGGGACCCTAAGCTGTCGGCACAGCCTCGCGTCCTCCGACGGCCCTGCAGCCTTGGCCTCCTCCAGTGGGAGGAGTGGGTTTGGGGTCAGATGGTGAGGGTCGTCGGAGCCGGGCCACCCCTTGGCCATTGCTGAGTGATCTGTTCTCCTACCTGGCCCTTTCCTCATTCTCTCATTTGTACACTGAGTTCTTGTTTCTGTCGTTGTAGCTTCTAATAAAGTGGAGTAAACCTGAACACTGGTCTGAGTTCCGTTTTCATGCTGTAACCCAGGCTCTCCTGGACTTGCCCTGAAGGCCCTTCCACCTTTCGCCTCTGGTTTCCTGCAGATGAGGATCAGGCTAGGAGAGCGGCTTTGTTTGCGCGTTCCGGTCTTGCTGGGGAATTCGGTTGGCAGTTGCTGCCTCTGTGGTCTCCGTGAAATCAGGGGACCTCGGGACAGGCCTGTACACCCAGAGGGGCTGGAGGTGACCAGGCTGTGGAGGGAGCAGCCCTGCTCGCCCTAGCACTGCCGCGCTCTGACGGCTCCCCCGGGGCGCTGCACGCCTCCGGGTCTTCCTGCTTGTTACCTGAGACGGAGCGGAAGTGTCTCCTCGCGTCGGATCGTCCCTCTTGTGCAGGTTTTGCCTTCTGGAAGCTTTCAAGGTGAGGACTCGGGTGAACGCTCTGCGCACGTCTGATGACACGGTATGTCTGATGCCTCACTCACCTCCCCCAAATCCTGGAGAGCCTGCCGTGCGGCTGCCAGGCGTGAGGAGCACATCAGACGTGGTCTCTGCCAGGATGGGGCAGACAGACTCCAGTCAGCAGGTAAGGAAGAGCCGGGAGGAAGGATCGATGCTGTGGGCCTGCGTTAGAGGGCAGGTGACCCTCTAAAAGGGGCTCCTCACAAGGGGCAGTGGGTACGGCTGAAGCAGAGCAGGCAGGCTGGGCTTGCAGGCTGAAAGCAAAAGCTTTTTCTGCGCGTATGCAACACCTCACGTGTGCATTTTCACGCCAACCGATTGTCCGGTTGTCTGCGGTCACAGACTGGGTGTCAGCTCCGACGCCAACTACAGGAGTCCAGGCAGACCCCACAGGTTCGGCTCAGACACCAGCCACAGCTCACCTGCGCCTCTGTCCAGCTGGGCTGCAAATCAGAGACTCCCACGCCCCATCTTGGGTTTGGTAACTTGCTGTAACGGCTTCCCAGACCCAGGGCAAGTTTATTTCCATTAATCGATTTATTACAAAGGCTGTATTACAGGATGTGGATGAACAACCAGAAGAAGAGTCCCGGGCACAGGAGCTTCGGTCCCCACGGAGAGTGGGGTGCATCACCATTCCAGTGTGGATGTGTCCTTGTCACCAGCCTGGAAGTTCTCTGAGCCCCTTCAGTTCAGATTTTTGTGGAGGCTTCATTATGGCGTGCGTGCTGGTCGGATCATCAGCCTTGGTGATTAGATTAGCTCCTCCTCTAGCCCCTCTCCCCTCCCAGGAGGTCAGGGCCTGGGGCAGGTTCCAACCCTCTGATCACCTGGTTGGTTCCCCTGGCAACTAGGCCCTGTCCTTAGGGGCTTTCCAAAATTCACCTCCTTAGCAAACTTAGGAGTGGTCAAAAGGGTCTTGTTAAGAATAAGGAAGACACTGTTTTCACCTAAATTACTCCAGAGCTGTTTCTGGAGCGAGGGATAAAACCCAGATCTTACTACAAAAGATGCTTCTATCAGTGTCTCTTATCACTTAGGAAATTACAAAGGTATTTTTGGAGTCTGGCCAGGAGCTGGGATGAAGACCAGAACATGTATTTTTTACTCTATCACAGTATCACACAGGTCCAGTAAGGCTCTGAGTCTGACTGCAGTACATGGCCCTGAGGCTCGTAAGCAGGAGACGAAGCTGGTCCCACGTGTTTTACAGGGAGGTCCTGTCCGGCCACAGGGAACTGAGTGGAGAGAGAGAGAGTAATGGAGGGGCTGAATGGGAGCCTGGGGTGTAGCCTAGTGATGGCGGTGGTCTGGACCAGGGGACGGGGACAGTGGACCTATTTTGGGTGTATTTTGCATCTCATGAGTAAGCAGTGGTACTGGGAGAAAAGAAGAAGCCATGGGTGATAACCAGAGAGAGAGGCTGAGGTCAGGGGAAAACCGGGAGCTTCGTGTAGACGAGTTGGCTGGAAATGCGTTTGACGTCCTAGGAGAAACGGGAACTTCGCGGGCAGGTTTGAGTCTGGGCTGCTGAGTGGAGGTCGGGCACGAGCTGTAGTGGTCCAACAGGTGTCCCCGTGCGGCTGGGTGTAATCGCCCTGCAGAGAGCAGAGAGAAGCGATCGCCGCTGGAAGCTTGAGTGCCCGTCGTGTGAACGAGCAAAGGACACTTAGGAACGGGCAGATGCTGGGGGAAACTAGAGGAGGGATTGTTCTTAAAGCCAGGAAAGGGAAACCTTTCAAGAAGGTTGAGGTCAGCTGGGACCCAGACAGCTTCAGGGTCAGGTGAGATGACAGATCTGTCCCCTGTGCCGTGTTTCATCCAATGTCAGATGCCACCTGTTACAAGAATCACCATTATTTTAATATTCTACTAAGGCAAAAATGCTAACATTTAGAAAGGCTGGATGCCGTCAAACCATAAAACGTCCCAGTTTAGAGTTGTTGGAAATAGTTGTAAATGTGCCTCTTAAGTTGAAATCCGGTATTTGTGGTAACACGGAGGTTGACAGTGACCTTGACCAGCGGTGTCAGTGCAGCGTGAGTAGAATAAAGGGGGTGGGAGTGGGTAAGGAAGCGGAAATTGTACGCCTAGAAACTCTTGAGAAGTCTGGTTCTGAAGGGGAGCGGTGAGATGGGGCAGCTGGCAAAGTGTACGGGATCGAGGGAAGGTTTTTCCTTTGGTATATTTTAGGATTGAACAATTAAAAGTTTTTATTCATACAATAAGTTTGTTAATGGATTAATCTGAAAGATAACTGTGACTGAAAAAATAAGATACCAGAAGGTGTGATACCATACAGGTAAAAATTTTTAGTATACAGTTACTACGTACTGCTGTGTGTGCGCGTTATAAAGACTATAAAGTGTATGCTTGTGGACTTGTGTTATTTTAAGTAACGGGTTTATTGAGATATGGTTAAATAACATGATTTAAAATGTACGGCTCAGTGGTTTTAGCACATCATCAAAATCAGTTTGGGGACATTGTTGTTATCTCCCCGCCAAACCCATAGCCCTTAACGTTCACTCCCCTTCCTTTTCCCCCACCGCTACCACAGCCCTAGAAAACCACAAAATGTACTTTCTGTCTGTGTAGATTTGCCTGTTCTGGACGTTTCATACACATGGAATCATACAATATACGGTGTTTTGCAATGGGCTTCTTAGCATAATGTTTCTAAGGTTCATCCCTGTTGTAGCATATGTCAGTGCTTCGTTTTTTATTCCTGAGTAACATTCCATTTTAGGGATATGTCACATTTCACTTCCACACTCATCAGTTGATGAGCCCTTGACTGTTGTGACTGATGCTGCTATGAACATCCCTGTAACAACTTTCTGTGTGGACGTGTGTTCTCTCTTCTCTTGGGTATGACCCCAGGAGTGGAATTGCTGGGTCATATGGCAGCCCTGTGTTTTGCTGTGGAGGAACCACCACACTGTTTTCCAGAGCAGCTGCACCATTTTGCTTTCCCAGCATCAGTGCCTGAGGGTTCTGTATGACACATTGTCTTTTTGATTTTAGCCATCTTTAGTGCCTGTGAAGTGGCTTCTTACTTTGATTTTGATTTGCATCTCCCTGACGGCTGATGAGGTTAAGCGTCTTTTCATGTGCTTACTGGCCATTTGTACATCTTCTTTGCAGAAATGTCTATGCAGATTTTTGCCCGTTGTTTTTAATTGGGTTGTCTTTTTATTATCGAGTTATGAGTTATTTACGTAGTCTAGACACAAGTCCTTTATCAGATTTATGATTTCCAAGTATATTTTTTCCCATTCCGTGTGGGTTGTCTTCACTTCCTTGATGGTGTCCTTTGAAGCACAAATTTTTTTCATTTTTAAAGAAAGTTAATTAATTAATTAATTAATTAATTTTTGGCTGCATCAGGTCTTTGTTGCTACACGTGGGCTTTCTCTGGTTGTGTCCAGCGGGGGCTACTCTTCGTTGTGGTGCACGGACTTCTCATTGCGGTGGCTTCTCTTGTTGTGGAGAACGGGCTCTAGGCACATAGGCTTCAGTAGTTGTGGCACACGGGCTTAGTAGTTGTGGCCCATGGGCTCTAGAACACAGGCTCAGTAGTTGTGACGCACGGGCTTAATTGCTCCACGGCATGTGGGATCTTCCCGGACCAGGGCTCGAAGCCGTGTCCCCCGCATTGGCAGGTGGATTCTTAACCACTGCACCCCCAAGCTCCTATCTGTATATCTTTTACGGCTTATGCTTTTGGTATCATTTCAAAAACCATTGCATAATCCAAGGTCATGAAGATATACCCCTATATTTTCTTCAAGTAGTTTTATAGTTTTATCTCTCACATCTAAGTCTTTGATCCGTTTGGAGTAAGTTTTG